GCGCACGCCCGATTGCATACATAAAGGCGAGGACGACAGCTGTACGCAGAATGACATTAAGCGTTGTACACCGTGACGGTAGAATGCATACTCTAGCTACAAAAAAACTACGAAAAATCTCCTGTCCCCCCACCTTTAACAGGTAGCATAACAATGTAAAAACCGTATAAATGAACAAGGGGAGCCTCTCATCGATAATTTACTCGAATTCTGAACTACTTGCAGACAGCTATCGATGTCCCATAAACATTTGATATTTGTCATCCATCTAGTCTCACACGAGAGGGTGATACCTCGTCATATCGGAGCATCGTTGCAAATAAAAATGGTGCGCGTTCAAATATTAATTAATTGCCGGCCGGCCGGGCCGGGCCCTGGTTTTTTTCCCTCGGGCCGGCCAGCCCGTCAGATTGCAACCCTGCTAAAAAATGCTTATGAAATTTTAATTCTTGAAGTCGACGTAGGAATAGACCCCATAAAACTAATAAATGTCTATGGAACGCCTTCCTGTAACACTAGAGATTCAAAACAACTTTTTAATATTATATATACTTTCATCGATCATAAGAATATTATTATATTAGGAGATTTTAATTGTAAAGAAATTGATTGGTGCTCAGATCCTCCCACACCAACACAACCCCTACAACTAGCCAGAGCGGTTATTGATTTTTGCGTAACAAATAATCTTACTCAATACGTAAAGCAACCTACTAGAGGCCCAAACATTCTTGATCTACTTTTTTCGAATACGTCACAGTCTAATGTTGTGGTTTCCAGTCCGATAGGGTTCAGCGTTCATTCAAAAATATCTTTCCAACTTGACCTTATTCACAAGCCAACTCCTGTGTACATCTCTATCCCTGATTATAAAAACGTAAATAGGCAAATGCTCCAACAACTGTTACATAGAGTTGACTGGACACAAATCTTTGGTCAAAGTTTAGTCATTAATGACAAATATGATAATTTCCTCTCCTTCCTTAATCATGTTTTTGAATGCACTGTTCCTTGGATTAGAGTAAATTCTGAATATGGAAATCTCCCCCAATACCTGATATCATTTCAGTAAACTTGTAGACTACCTTTGGGAAAAAACGAAACTAACTAGAAGTGACTCTGACTTTGAACAATACGCCCTGATTACAAAAAAATTTAGGAAAAAATTGCAAAAATATAAAGGCAATGTTGAATTGCAAATTCTTCAGAAAAAAGGTGTCAGTCGGTTTTCTAAGTTTTCTAAATTTGTGTTAAAGAAGAAATCTGGCGATACACCAGACTTCAAAAACTTGTCCGGAATAGTATTGAGTGAAGACTATGAGAAATCTGAATGTCTATCGGAGTATTTTGAATCACAATTTACAAATCCTAGTCCAACGTTCCAAGCCAATAATACCACAAAAAATATCCAGGAAATGATATGGGTATCTGAAGATGAAATTTATAAGTTACTTAAGAAAATTAAGAGTTATAATACACTAACCCCAGACGATATTCCTTCTAGTTTTTTTAAAATTGACATCCATATATATAGCTAGCCCAATAGCACAACTCTGTAATTACTCAATGATGTCAGGAAAAACCCCGAAAAAGTGGAACGAGGCGATTGTTATTCCTATAAAAAAAGTAGAAACTCCTTCTAGCCCAAGCCAATTCAGGCCTATTAGTCTCCCTTCCGTTATTTGTAGAGTTTACGAAAGGTGTATCCTGAAAAGAATCAATGACCATCTAGCAAATAGTCAATTTTGGAGTGACAGCCAACACGGCTTTCGAGTAGGTAGATCAACAACTTCCTGTCTGTCAGAATCTTTAAATGATTGGACTTCTAGTCTTGAAAGAGGGGATCAGGTAGACATAATTTATTTTGATTTCAGTAAGGCTTTTGATAAGGTACCTCATAATTTATTACTTGAAAAGCTGGCCTCTATAGGATTAAATTCATATCTTATAGAATGGATAAATTCATATCTTACTAGGGAAGGTTGTAACTGGGGTATGGGACTTTGATATGAGGCCTATATCATTCGAAAGCTGAGAATGAGACATTTTCAAATATATATTCAGATTTTGCTGCGGAAATTCCAGATCCGAGAAAATCGAATTTGAAATTTGGCTGAAATTCGAATATTTTGAGGGCCAGATCTCCCCCTTTCTTATATGCATTGTGGAACTAGTTGAAAGCAGCGACTGGTGGTGTAGCGGTGAAGAGGGAGAACGGTAACTGACTAGGGTTGGGTTCGATTCCTCTCTCCTTTGTTTGTTTTTGTTTTTGTTTTCGGTCTTTGTGGAAATCTTCAAAATGTTCCGAACACATTTTTCAAAAAAATTTCATTTTGATACTAAAAAATTGTACTTTCTTAAATGTTCTAAGTAATATCTAGTTTTTGACTATTTCGTTAATCAACACTAAACACTTTCACACAGCTTTTGTTTGTCAAAGTTCATAAGGATGGTTCGTTTTAAGAGCCACACATCAATCAGACATGATTTGTGTCTATGATTTCTCGAATTTTGAGTGTTACTGGGCGATCATCGTAGTACTACGGTTTGTTGAAAATCAGAAAAAGGATCAAAATGTCTTGATCCCGAGAATAAATAGGTTATCGAATTTTGTAAAAAAAAACCTAATTTGCTTGTTCTTTTTCGTTTAATACCTTTTCAGCCGAAAAAAAAATTTTCAAAAGTTTTCAAAAAAAAAAGTCAAGGCGGTACCCCATGGAACTTTTTTTCAAAATTTGTTTCTGAAAAAAAAACGCTTAAACTTGGTCACATTGTACAGAAACTTCTAAATTTGCGATCACAATAAAAAAAAACATCCAAAATCTTTTGTAAACCATTAACTTTCTATTCTCAAAAGTCAAAAAGTGGTTTGAAAAAATGACTCAAAAATAGTATTCAAAAGCATGTAACCACAATTTCAAACAGTTACAGAGAACACAGTATGATCCTGTAAGTTTTTCATGTTTTTTCAAAAAAAAAATTTTTTTGGAAAAAAGTCACCATGGGGTCCCCCCTTTGCTTTTTCAAAATTGAGATTTCAAACTCGATTTTCTCGAATATGGTAAGTCCGCAGCAAAATCGAATTACATTTTTGAAAATGTCTCATTTTCAGCTTTCGAATGATATAGGTCTCATAACGAAGTTTCATACCCCACAAACAACCTTCCCTAGTTAGTAACAGAACATTCAGGGTAAAAATCATTAATAATATTTCCTCGCCTAAGCAAGTAGTATGCGGAGTTCCTCAAGGTGGGGTGCTGTCACCAGTCTTGTTTTGTGTCTATGTTAATAGCCTGAGCGCAGAAATTTCCTCGCCAGTGCAAGTAAAACAGTTTGCTGACGACCTAAAAATTTACTGCCCAATTAAAAAAGGAGACATGGGAGGATCTCTGCAAGAATCAATTAATAAAATCTATGAGTGGTCAATGAATGCTAAACTAGAATTAAATCTATCAAAGACCTGCTGCATCAGTTTTGGTAAAAACCCAAAATATATGAATTATTTCCTTGATAATGAATAAAATTAAACGGGAAACTACAGTTAGAGATTTAGGATTTATGATCACTGAGAGATTAGATTTCTCTAACCATTGACAGAAAGCTATCAATAGGGCGAAATATGCTAGTTACTCTATTTTTAAAACTTATCATAGTAAGAACGTTAGATTAATGTTATTACTATATAAGACTTTTGTGCGACCGTATTTGGAATATGGAACGGTGGTAGCCAGCCCTTCTAAAAAACTGCTCATTGACAATATAGAGAAAGTGCAAAGCTCCTTCACTAGAAAATTGATGAATAGAATAGTCGGTAGAAACTTAACGAGAATTGATAAGGATTACAAAACATCTCAAGACAGATTGACCGAATTCAGCCTAGAATCACTACAATCTAGACGGGAAAAGCTTGATCTGAAATTCTTCAACAAACTCATTCTAGGTAAAATTAATAAAAATCATTTATCATATTTCAAAATTAGATCGACAAAAACGCGCAGCCACCACACCTACCAATGGGAAACTCCAAAGTCTAAACTTAAACAAAACTTCCTCACACATAGGGTTCTTAATAAAATGATGAGCTCGACAAAACGGATCTAAAAGCCTGCTGCTGTCAGAAGTTCGGAAAAAGATTTGTTATTATCTACTATTATTCATGTCTAGGTTAAGAAATATCAATTTTATGTCACCATGTCCCTTTTTGTCTATTTATTCTCTTTTTATTCTTTTTTCTTTTTATTCTTCCACGTATTTTTTACGTAATAAATACAATACAATACAATACAATACAATACAATACAAGCCTAAATACCTCTTTCATGTGTTTTATCAGAAAACTTAAAAAAATTCGGCTTTTTTTTTTGAAATTCTGTTCCTTATTCCTTATTCCTTCTTCTTTATTCCGGGTGTTTTTTCTATTATTTATTCTTCCGGATTTTAAAAAGTTGTATTCCTTCTTCCCTGTTCCTTGTTCCTGATTTTCAATTTTTGTCCCTTATTCCTTATTCCTTCTTCTCGATTTTCAAAATTTTTATTCTGCTCATGTCTGAGCTTTCTAACCGACGCTTCATATCTCATTAAATTTGTACTATGTTTCGGTGATCAAATGTCGACAACCTTTTCATCGTTTCGATATTTGAATTTTAATAATCAATTGAAATAGATGTTTTCGTTTACCTTTCTTTCTCAAAATTTTGATGTTTTGTGAAAAAGGTTGTGTTTCTGTTTAGTTTTGATATTTACTTCTAGCATTTTTCATATTCAAATTTAACACACATTCTCTGTAGTTTTCGAGCATCGACCCATTGTCATATGTACAAAAAAAATCAAGCTGTTCCAAATGTGTTGGTATTACATACAGTTAGTACATATAAACTTTTAAGAATTTTGAGGATAGTTTTGATTGGCTCCGCCCACTTTGATCCGATCTGCAAAGCTCGCCGATCAGAGAATAAATTTTTTTATTTTTCGAGATAGAAACGAAATCTCTTTTGGAGTAAACACATTTCGTTAATTTAAGCATTTTTTATGTTGAATAAAAAAAAAAATAGAGTCTCATCTTCCGATGGAAAACTTCAATTTTTCGTGTTGTTTGTATTTTTCACAGTTTTTTCAAGTTTTCGTCATTATGGGACTGCGTGTGAATGAATTTCTTTGCAGATTCAGAATTCTCATAAACTTTTACTATAGGAACTTTCAAAAAATCAGCAAATTTGTAGGAACAACATAACGAATTTCGCTAAAATGTCGATTTTTTTGACTGCTGAAAATTTTCGATATTTTTTCTTGGTTTTCAGTTTTTTTGAAGTTCTGTTTTCTTTGTGAATTTGAACATAATTAATAAAAACACGTAGTTTAAAAGCAATACCGGTACACGCATCGCTTTATTTTGCGATTTATCAAAGAGAACCACTGAAAAATCGAAATTTGGGTTCCGATGACTATAACTTTTTTTTAGAAGAGTTAGAGTTTTGAAATGTTCTGGAGTAAGACGAATACACATATGAACAATCTAGAAATTACAAAATTCTGCTTTTGAGTTGAAGTACAAAATAAGTTTTGTTTTCCGGAAAAGGGAAAGTTTTGTTTTCCGGAAAATGTTTAATATGTGAAATCGTTTGTATAGACTGATTACTATAAAAAATTTAGGTCCTATATAGCTGAAAGCCCAAATAAGAGATTCAGCAACAGCCAAAATACCAATTTATCGCTTAAATAACTTTTTCATAGACCAAATTTTTCTCAATGTTTTGTTTCGAATTAATTATATTGTGCATTTTAATGATATTTTTGATTAATTTCCATTTTATTTCATCTCAAAACATCAACTGGCTCTAGTTCCCCTCATGCGTCTCCATTTCAGCAAATCCTGACTGAAGTTTGTGCTCAGAACTCGAGTATAAACGACAAAGCATGATTATTTACCGTTATCAATCAAAAAATTAGATAATTATCTCATGATCATAAAAAATTTGGTATGGGAGTATGTGTATTCGTCTTTCTTGACAAATCGCAAAATAAAGCGATGCGTGTATGTTTTTAAACTACGTGTTTTTATTAATTATGTTCAAATTCACAAAGAAAACAGAAGTTCAAAAAAACTGAAAATCAAGAAAAAATATCGAAAATTTTCAGCAGTCAAAAAAATCGACATTTTAGCGGAATGTGTTATTTTGGTCCTACAAATTTGCTGATTTTTTAAAAGTTCCTATGGTAAAATTTTATGAGAATTTTGAATGTGTAAAGAAATCTATTCACACGCACTCCCATAATGACGAAAACTTTTAAAAAACTGTGAAAAAAACACGAAAAATTGAAGTTTTCCATCGGAAGATGAGACTCTACTTTTTTTGTCTCAACATAAAAAATGCTTAAAATAACGTTATTCTTTCTTCTGGATTTTGCTTAAAATAAATATGTTCACTCCAAAAAAGATTTCATTTCTATCTCGAAAAATAAAAAATTTTATTTTCTGACCGGCACATTTGGAATAGGCCTGTGCGACAACAAATAGCCGATTGCCGAAATTGCCGAAATTGCCGAATTTTTGTTGCCGATTTGCCGTTGCCGAAATCGGCAACGAAGAAAAAGTTGCCGAATTGCCGTTGCCGATTTCGGCGAAAAAATTTCGGCAATTTCGGCAACTGAAATTTTTTAAATTTAGAGATTTTCACAATTTTTTTAGTCAAAAAAATGATTTCGAAGTTCGAAAAATCAAATTTTGAACACCATCATCCCTCAGAATGAATTTTTGAGGAAATGTGTCCCAATAATCATCAAAAATACTTGCATCGGATCTAAAAATGAGCTTCAAATTAGTGAGCATAGGAGAAAAATAGATATCACAAGTCCCAACTCATCAAAAAAAATTATCCGATTTGTCTCAAATCTCTAGGGAACGTGCGTCGTGAGTTGCCTAACAAGTTGAGCGCACTATTTTCAAAACTAACAATCGGAACAAATATTTTCAACCATTGGAATACCCTCTATTGCTAAAGAGAAATAGTTTGCATAAAAAATGTGGTCTTGAGTTGCCAACTTTTGTAATTACTTTTTTAAGGAACTTATGAAATACATTTTCTGTAGTTCTGAGCCTGATAGTGATAAATTTTTTTTCGGCAATTGCCGAGTTGCTGAATTGCCGAAAAAATTCTGTTGCCGCACAGGCCTGATTTGGAACAGTTTGATTTTTTTTGTACATTGGGTTGCTCGAAAATCTCAGAGAATGTGTGTTAAATTGTATGTTACATTTTACTATCGCGTAAAAAGACGTCATTTAACCGGGTTTCTTGAGAAGTAATATGAGAAGCAATTGATGCTTCAGTAAACAAGACAATGTTTTACTTTTTGGACAAAATTTACAGTTTTTATCTGTTATTTGCTACACACAGCATGATTTCAAAAAGTCTGAAAATTTTAAAGGCACATGAAATCTAGTGGTACGAAACGACGTTTTTGTCGTTGGACCGACGATGCGCCTTCAAGTGAAATTTTGATTTCAATATTTGTCGCGTGAATAGCTATAGTAGCCAATTCTCAGTTGATATCATCCAGAATAAAACTTTCAAAAAGAAAAACCACTTCATTTTATTCAAAAAACTCAAGTTGACATTCTCTGCACATCAGTTGGTGTTCCCAAAAATCTTCGACATTTCTTTGTAAAATCCAAATTGTCCACAATGAAAAATACTGGCAGCGAAATTTCCGGTAAATAGTTGGCAATTGCCAACCGTTTCAGCCACTTCCCCAGAAGACTTCCGCTTCCATTATTCCAGTCTTGAAAAGTGATATATTCAAAAACGGTAAACAGAGCCTAAATATGCTTGGATGAAAAAAATTTCAAAGTTGATTTTTATGATACCAGGTACAAAAATGTGGTGATTAGGAGGAGAGCAAAAATCCGATTTTCTCCTTCTCTCAAACGTCTCGACCTTCGAAGAGCCAACTTGTTCTGTTTTCGCAAAAACAGATATAGACTTGTGTAACAGGTAATAGAGCCAATCAAGAATGAATTGAAGAATCGGTTGATGATCTGGAAAAAAAAAGGAAAATCGATTCGAAAATTGGAACGTGATATACTTACAGTCATGAATCCAACATCTGGAGCGGTATCTAAAAATCCGAATTCGATTATAAATTCTCTCTCAACCTTCGATGGTATTATCATTCCGATAGCCCCACCTACAGATAAAATTATTGCAAAAATAACAGTGGAAACGAGATTGAACCCATCATAAAGCATTTTGGTCCATTTTTCAGACATGAAAGTTAAGACACGATTCAAAGAAAGCACAAAATTAAATGTTACAGAAAATAGGTTACTGCTGTAATCCACATAAAGACATAATTTTATCAACGGTTCCAGCCAAGAAACCTTAGGAGTGATGTCATGAAAAAATACAGCCAGATAAAAAATAATGACGTAGAAAACTACGCGGAACAAAATTGCAATAGATTGAATAAGAAGCATAATAAAGAATGGTCCCTGAAGCTTCATTTTCAAACCTGTTCCAATACAACCAACTCACCTTTTTCAGCAATTTCTCCCAAAGTATATAAATGATACAAACTAATTGAACCGTCAAATTGGCAAAACATAAAACTTCTAGAACCCCAAGGCTATAATTAAGGGGCTCTATAATTGGTGAAGATGAAGCATTATCAGTCCAAGGATCAATAACATTTCGAATAGGAGCTGTTATTGTGGATTTGAAACGAACAAGAAGTCGTAGATTTTTCGAATTCGAAAAAATCATTTAGTTGCAATTTTCGTTTATTCAACTAGAATTCAACTGAGTGAAATGAAAAAAAGAAATGAAAAACATAAACTAGACATTATATACACATGACTATTATTTAATTGATAGGTGCGGACCATTTTTGAGACTGCCATATTGTGATTTGATGTTTGATGAAGAACTTTATAGAGTAGTTTGTAGTTTAATAATAGGATCAAATGCATACGTGCGCCGGGCCGGGCCAGGCCAAAACTTGAAAAAATGGTCCGGGAAGCCCGGCTCGAAACTCCCGAAACTCTCGGACAGTGGGAGCCAACTTCGAATTTAGGAAAATTACGTTGCTTTCTTTGTTTAAATGAGGTGTGTATATAATCTAATTTCAAGCTGCATATCATATATCATCTATTAGGTTGGCGGGAAAGTCTTTGTCACTCTGTTTGTTTAATCACTGTTCTCGTATATGGAGGCTGTGTATGATATCGACTCTAGTGAATAACAAGGTGATAAGAACCTTCCATATAAACAAGTCCCCATCTCCTTCCCTGCTCCTCATCTGTAATTGAAACGATATGTTTGTTCCCACTGCTATTCACATCAGACATGTTTTGATTTACCTCTTCCTATCTCACACCACGATGAAGGATTCGGAAACTTTCTTGAAGAATGTGTACAACACACATGCCCCTCACTACAATACTATTCGCAATTGGTTCCATCGTTTCGAAAAAGATGACTTCTCGCTCGATGAAAAGGATCGCTCTGGGAGACCCCGTGAGTTGGATTTGGACAAGCTGAAGCACGCATTGCAATCGGATCCATTTCAATCTAGCCGTGAACTAGCTGTCACATTCGGAGTTCACCATAGCACAGTCCTTGAAGGTTTGAAGTCTCTTGGAATGAGAAAACTTTTTGGTCGATTCATACCTCATCACCTGACTCAAGCCAACCTTGACCGCCGAGTCGACGATTCGATTACTCTTCTCACTCTCCACGCGGGCGATCGATGGCTGGACCGGCTAATAACCGGAGATGAGAAGTGGGTCTTCTACGATAATCACCACAGGAAATCCCAGTGGGTTGGAGAAGGAGAGAGCCCACAGGATGTCCCCAAACCCGACCTTCATCCGAAAAAAGTTATGCTCTCTGTGTGGTGGGGAGTGGACGGCCCCATCTACTGGGAACTTCTGCCCGAGGGCAAAACAATAACTGGAGACCTCTACACTACTCAACTACGAAACCTCAAGAAAGCAGTCGACCGTTCGGCCCTGAAAGACAAGAAAGTGTACTATCAACATGATAACGCTCGCCCACATGTTTCGAAACAAGTGAAGCAGGAGCTGATGGGATATGGATGGAATGTTCTCCCTCACCCCCCGTATTCTCCTGATCTTGCTCCTTCCGACTATTGGTTATTTGACGATATGACACGTGCCTTCGAAGGAAGAAGCTTCAATTCCCGTGGAGCGGTCGAAGCGGCACTCAAACAATACTTTGCCTCACGCCCGGCTGGATTCTACCGCAATGGAATCCATAAATTGAGGGAACGTTGGAGACATGTTGTTGATAATGATGGACAATATAATTAATTATTCGGTTATTTTTTCTTTGAGAAATAAACTATTGAAAAAGTGACAAAGACTTTCCCGCCAACCTAATAATTTCAAAATGTTTACTGTTGGAGGGAAGTTAAAAAAAATTTTTCTGCTGACTTTGTCCCAAAGTTGGGCATGGATAACAATTCATAACTAATGGGTTGGAAAACACACCCCAATGAATTGAATGGACGTTTCTAAGCATTTTCGGGCTTACCTGAAAAACTCAATAATTGAATTTCTTATACATTTTTTAAAAGGTAATGAAAACATTGAATTCGAAGAGTTCTTCATTCCTGTAAAAATCAAATTACGAAAATGCACAACAAGAGAAAGATTGCCAGGATTTTATCAAACATTGAATCCTCCGCGTTTAGCTTCATAATGTGTCTAAACTCAGCGATGTTTCTTTGAAATTTTGATATCAAAGGCGTATTAGAAGTTCTAAATTCAAGCTTGATCAGAAAATAAGGCATGTTTATATTTATTTTGAAGCACCGGACAAAACAAACTTAAAAATATTATCTACATTTCAAAACATTACAGAATAATCAACCAGGTAATCATAACTTTGTCCACTATCGAATTCTTTGATTTCTCGTTTTGATCGGCTTTCATCTTGCAAATATCATTCATAACTTTGTCCACTATCGAATTCTTTGATTTCTCGTTTTGATCGGCTTTCATCTTGCAAAATCATTCACGAACTTCGAAATCTGCCGGGACTTCTTTACGTTAGCCGTACTGCATTTTTCCTCCTGTTCAATTTTCTCGACCAAGCAATTGGTGTATTCCGGGTCCATATAGCTTTTCTGTTTCTCCGCATGCTGACAATTCGATGTTCTGAATGAATCATTCTGTGAATTGTGGTTCTGACCGCTTTTCATTGTTTCCTCGAGATCTGGAAAAATAAAAAGAATACGTTTCAAATATTATGAATTTTTATTTGATGTTCTGATGGAATAGCTTCGCAAATAAAGATTACTAGATTTTTTCAAATAAATCATTTGAGGTTTATATTGCAAAAAAATATGATTTCCGTACAATTTTGACAGTGTTTTTGAGTATTTTGAAATATTTTTTTATGTGTTTCTCAATAAAAAAACAGCTACGGATGTCAACATAATTTGAACTTAACTTGCTAATCTTCAGTCCAAAAGTCAGAATCCCAAATCAAAGTCTCACCTTTATCAAAACACTCCAGAGAATTGAATATTGGAAAATTAGTAGCACATTTAGTGAAAAAGTTATATAGAATTAGAGAATAATTAGGAAAATCAAAGAAGGAGTTCTCCAAAACCCATTCACTTTAGGGTTTTTGGAGAACTCCCAAAAAATATAGACGTCTATTCAGTCAAGTCGTCGTAGGAAAGAGTGAATGGTTACGGATCGAAAGCAGAGGGACCCCTAGAATGTGTAATGTGATCGTTATAGCGTCTCTTCTATCCTCTACACTGTTTCAATTGGCGCCATCTGCTAGTTTTTTTGTCCGAACAAAAGGTCACTCTGGGGGCTCCGGAGCACCAACATCGTTTGAAGCAAAATTACCGATTTTTCTGTTTTCGAAGCAATAACTGGACCCCCCTTGGAGCAGTCTTTTTGACATCAAAAATTCAAAAAAGGATTCTGATGTATTAGGAAGATTATACATCTGCTATTTAATTTTTTTCGCTTTAATGGTAATTTTTCAGGAAAGATCTAATATCATCTGGGAAAAAAAGACATACAAAAATAGAAGAGATACTACTTCATTTATTTGTTTTAAAATTGATATAAATGATGGCTTAACAAAATATCCTACAGCGCGTTGTCCATATTCAAATATATTTTTTCTCTTCAAATCTTTGCTTGTCGATTGGATATTCGGCTTCAAAAGTTTGACCATTTTGGAGATTCCAGGAACAAAATGTGCAAGTTCGAATGGACTTTTGGTATCTTCGGATTTCTCCTTCAGCTACCATAAACTGGAAAAAGAAAATTAGGCAACTATTCTAAGACAGTTAAATCGATCAGTGATTTATATCAAATTCAAAAACACTAAGCTAGCTCAATATTACTAATTTCGAGGTAAAAAAAACAGTTAAAACTCACATCGTTGACATGCTTGTTCACGATCTCTTTGCTGCCAAGGAAGTGTGGCAAAGATGATTACGGTGCGCAGTGGATACTTTCTTCTTCGAACTTCGTGTCTTACACTTCTGACATATCCTCCACATCCTCATCTGGCTCCTCATTCTCCACATTTTTCTCCTTTATATTCTGGTTGTCCTGGTTGTTGAAGCAACAGTATAATCAAAGTAAGCGTATTGCCCTTACAAAGCAGTATAGAGAGTAGAATAAGGGAAATGAGAATAGATATTCAGAAAAATAAAAAAAGATCCCAATCGGGGTTCCATAGAAAGTTATTGGCGTACGGCTAGTGGGGAGTAGATGATCCAGAATAACTAGACCAAAAGGCGCCCGAGACAATTCCAGCGTGGTCAAGTCTCAAAGACTTGCCTAGCCCTGATCAATCTACTCCACCACTAGAGAGTACACCGAATTTCAATGAATTTAGGAATCTACCGAGGCCTTATATAGGAGCTAGGTGGACGTGGCTTGTTGGTACCGGCTGATAGGCGTGTCTAGGTGGTGCTAGGTGTTTGATTGGTACGGTGATAGAGATTGCTCTACTTTTGTTATAGACAGGTTCATCAAAACGACAAGAGGTCAATGAGCAAGATGAATACATTACACAATTTGACTGTTTCAATGACTCCTTAAGGGTCATAAAACACCTAATCTCCACTATACCTCCCCCAATTTCCATCACCATTGCTCCACAACCAATTAGCACCTGGCAACACCCACTTACACCAACTCTTGAACAGACACCATGTACCCATCGGCAAATCATCTCCTGGCATTTTCGAGAAACTTTTGGACTTGAATAAAAGAATATTATTCAAAAACGGTGAATGTACCTTTCTAACTCTCTTTTGAGGTACAGTAATAACAGGTTTTGCAGCGGAAGCCTTGAAAAATAAAGAATTGAGTAGGAATTCATGAAGAATATAAACCAACGGATGTTTTCTTCGTTTTTTTTTCAGGAATGTTTTGGAAACTTCGATGAAGGAAAAAAAAATGAAAAAATCGAAAAAAAAGGTTCACTTCTAAATTTCTGTTTTTTCTAACTTTTTTGATATTTCCAGATATTCAATTTTAAAGATAATTTAGAATCGCAAAAAGTTCAACGAATCTATATCAGCATGTCGGCTTTCAAATTGAATAAAAAAGTAAAATGTATTACTTCAAAATTTCGAAACAATGAAAAAATATATAGTTCATATCTATAAATACCAGCCGATTTCCGAAGTTTTAGTTGATTGTGTTGTCAACTTTCATAACTGGAGTGACAGTCTGGTTATGCGCCTTCGGGGCTAAACCTTCTGGCTCCGTTTACATCACCCTTAACCGATAGAGTTTGGGCTTGGACAGATAAATCAAAAATGTAGATCAGAAATGTGTCTTAGTTGATACACGAACTGTTCAAAATTTCCAAATTTTTAGAACTAATAATTTTTCTGAATTCCCGAATATCTTGAAATTTGACAACTTATAATTTTTTCAGGAGTTTCGAAATTCAGGAGTTCTGAATTTTCGGAACTGCGACTCTCGAACTCAAAGATTTTTCTATTAAAGGAGGCGAGACACCAAAAAAAAGTTTTCCTGATATTTTGCCTAGAGAACCCCCATGAGGAGTTGAACTCGTGACAGGCAGCTCAGGGGTACAGCGCCGCTACCGGCTGAGCTACGAGGGCGCGAAGGCGCCTGACGACCGATGGTCTACATAAGCGCGGCGCAATTTCGTCCCCCGAACTGTCCCCGAAATTTTTGCTGTCTCGCCTCCTTTAAAATAATTTATTTCAGAACTCATAATTTTTGAAATTTTGTATTTTCGAGTTTCTGTATTTCCGACTTTCTGAGATTCTACTTCACAAATTCCAAAAATTTTAACACGAATCAGATTTCTAGAATTTTCTCTAAAACACATTCCTGAGTTTTTGATTCACAAAGTTTATGAATTCCGAATTTTCTAAATTCCGAACTTGGGCTTTCTGATATGGTTTTTCTGGTTTCTTGCTTTCGAGATTTTGGATTTTCAAAATTTCGAGTGTTCTAACTTTCAAATTTTCTAAATTTCGTAATATTCCGAATATCTGAATTTCCGAAACATTGGACATTTGAATTCTCTGATTTTAAAACTTCAAAATTTCCGAAGTTTCAAATCTCGGTCTTTTCGAGTTTTCTTTTTCCCAATTTTCCGAATTTCTGAATTAGAATTTTAGAATTTCAGATTGAAATGAAAATGTTTGAAGCATAGGCAAGGTTGAAAATTTCGCATTGCGAAAAAAATAATCAAATTTCGTGAATCAGAATCTCCGAAATTCAGTTTTTAAGAAATTAGAGGATTCAGAAAGTCAGAATTTTAAGTTTTACTGAACTTTTTCTTTATCTCTTCTTTCAAAACTAAGACTAAATAATTATTTCCACAAAATCTTTTTTTTGCCAGATATAACGTGGAAAAGAAAAAAAGACGGGGTTGGGCGGGAATGACGTAAATATTATTTTTGAAAGATATGCACTGAAGAAATAGAAGAACGTCTCCAGAAGACGTCAAACTCAAAATTTCGAAACATAAAATAAACGGGCATCATCTCGCTGCTATTTCGGATCATCTGGGAAAATTTGAAAATTTTCGGTCTACTGGGGACTTCGCTAAGGTCGTGGAACCTGGAACAAACGGACACACAAATAGAATTTGGTGATTGTTAATAGTAAAGATATTAAGACACATAAACAATTTTCAATTTAAAATTTCCAAAAAAAAATTGGGATGTAGGGAAGGTCGGGGAGAAAAAGAGAAAACACATGTTGGGGAGAAAATTCCATTAAAATCCGGCCATGAGGATTGTTTTTTTCGAAGCAGAACAGCTAGCCTTTGATTCCGCTTGCTCGTCCCGAACTTCCGCCGCTCTAATCTTTCATATTTTTTTCTATCCCGTGTAAGCGCTCGCCAGTGCTATGAATTTCTTTAAAATTCCATTTCAAACTCACGAGCATCTTTTCTGGAGCCTTCACATTTCTTCATATAGAACCGAAACCCATCTTTTTCACTGTCATGGGAACGCGATTGTTGAATTTGTTGACCAAGATTTTCAAACCAAAGACTATAATTTTCTATAACGGATATGAACTTTTTGATCAAACTCACTGGGTCGTCTGTTTCGGTAGAGCCGCTTATTCGTGCATCTACATGCTGTCCAATATCACTTTTGGCGGTCAGAAATGACTTCCACTGGTTTTGGGAATGTTGGCGGAATCTCTAAAATTTGTATGTTGACCTATTTAACATTGGGAAAGTATGAACGTACCGTATCCTTTTGAACGGGAAGAGGAAATCAACGGGGGAACTGGCGATGAGTCTGTAAAAAGTTAATTTTATTTATGACCTCAATAAAGTAGCACTCACTTGGTAACATAACCAGAGGAAGGATGATTCCAGATCTAGCCAAAAGCTGTTGCTGGTAAGCGGCCAGATATTGAATGAGATTCGTTTTTGGGAGCATATGAGTGTCCCGTTGACCATCAATGCCGAATCTCGAGCTCTCGAGAGTCCCTGTTAGTAACGGAATCCGGGATCAAAGAATCGACATTCTTAAAAATGGACACTACGGTTCGAAATTTTGAAAAGCTGAATCCAATTAATCAAATAGCCAAAAAATAATAAATGAACTTTTTAATTCAGAAATCATATTCTCACGGTGATTAATACAATTCGAAACACGTACGTTGAACAGTGTGGTCTTCTTGAAGACTTGGATGGTGGTGAAAATTATCCCGATTA